ATATAGTTAACGTCATCCCTTGCTGTCTTCCTTTTTTTGTTTTGGCGCATAATAACCTTCTGGGGAACTATTTGTTCTTGTACTTGTTGAAGCAGAACACTCTATTTCTTCCATAATTGCGTCGAAAGTCCTTTCCATCGTTTCCTTCAGCTGTCTTCTGTAAATATTTATAATACTTTAGAATAAAGTTTATAATAAAATAGGCTTTTTTTGCCTCGCCCGGAAATTAATTATTATAGCTACTTCTTCCCAAATTTGGGTGTTTTTTAAACACATTTTTGTAATCCGGTGATGATAAATTGTATAGGCACTCATATTTACGTATTTCCTCTATTAATTGTTCATTTAAATCCATTTTATTTGCTTAGTGCCACCTAGTGCGTACTTCGCGGTTAAAAATATCACAATTTTGAAATTGAAATGACGAAACCAAACAGAAACAATCTTAACATTGCCAACGCATACATTTTCTTGAATTTGTTTTGAAAGATTTTACTGAAAATAAACTTTCTTTGAGCAATGGCAACATTAGAGAACAACTAAAGTGTTGTTGTTGTCACTACGGGCATAACCTTTGGCAAATTTTATTCGGACGGTAAGTACTGAAGGGCGGCACGTCGACACTCATTCCAGCATTACCCGTGATGCGTGCCGCGTTTTGAATACCATGGCTCAGTCACCTTGTGATATGACTGATAATTCCTCACCTCACATCTATTTTGAAGATCACGAAGCTTCATACGACCGCACCGGTATCGAAATGGTGTATAGTATTTGTTTTTCTCTGCCATTTATCTATATAAAAACCAATGTTATTCTCACTACCAACCTACCAAGTCTACCACGTAAACGGACTTGCTTTTAATTCCGCCAAGGACCTTCAATTCGGCAGAACTCTTTGAAATTAAATTGAATCATTTAAAATATTTATTAATAATTTTTTTTACCGATATTTATTTTTAAAAATCTGCTTGTAAATTAATAAACTAGCAAAAAGCTTACAATAGAAAATAAGTACATGTATGTGCAAAACATATTAAATTATAACGGAACTATGTACTCGTATAATTATGCTGTCGGCTTAAAGTAATCTTTTAACTTAATAAACCGAGAATATATTTTAATCATTTTAATATTATTTAACAGCTTTGTTCTTTGGCTTTCTTTTTATTTTAACTTCTGTAAGAATCTATGTATGTAAACGGGTTAGGTTGCACTTGTAGTACATATACAAACATATGTATATTAAGTTGTAACCATATAATTATAAACTTTTTTTGCGTAATCAATATATTATATTATAAAATTAATCGATAATCGATATTTTTATGAGCTAAATAATCAATTTTAAACAAATAACTAATAGGACTTACAATAAGCACTAAATAAGAATTATGAAATATTTTAATCAATTATTTATGCTAGACGAACCTCTTACAATTAATGGCTGGAATCACTTAGTGTTCTTAAAAGCACTTGGAAACTTTAGTTAAGAAATATCAATCACAAAACACCATATTTTAAGTATTTAAATAAAATTATTGTTAATGTCTTTATGAATGCTTGTTTTCATTTCTCATCGCAATAACTCTAATTTTTATAACATATACGTGCTACATAATGCACGTTTAGTTTTCGAAGCAAAGCGTTGTCATAAAAATACATACATACATATATACCGTTTAGACGACTCTAATATTTTATTTTTTCCTTTTATTCATTATGAATATTCTACTAGTCAGGCATCTGTTGGGTCCCACCGAAAGGAATATTCGCCGATATTGATTCCGTATACGAATTCGGATCATCTGCTATATAACCGACTTTGATAGTGATATCTATTAAATTAGAAAGATTAAAATACATTATTACCCATTTCATATTGTTTAGTAACCGTATGTATGAAAGTAACACAAACAAGTAAGGAAGGGCAAAGTTCGGAAAATACCGTCAGGTGTTCGCAAAACTTTATTTAAAAAAATGTTGCAAAAGAATTCATCATTGACTGTTCGACGAAATCGTGAATAGATTACATTTAAATTTGGCATTTTAATAATTTACATAAAAGGTCATAGACTCACTTAGTTTTATTACTATATTTTACCACGCACCAGCTAAAATTATATTAAAATTATAATTAAATGAGATATATGTGATATAAACTAATAAAAACAAAGTGGTTCTAATCTGTGAGCGTACACTGTATGTGATATATAAGAGTCGAGATTATTCGTAGATCAATTTCACATATTTTCGGCATTAAACTATAGTCTATCCAATATTATATGTTCAGTTAATTTTGCTAAGACCGATATATACGGTAAAAGGCCCACCAAGGAAAGCCTTTTAATAGGTATAGGTATAAAAAATAAGGGTAGTATTGACCTGATTTCATTTATTTTTGGCATTACTAATAACAGAAACAGTTGCCCTCTGGTAGGCGTGGTTGTAGTCCGATTTCGCCAATTTTCGCACTGTATGGGAAATAATCAAAATTATCATATGTACTAAATTTGGTTGAAATTGGTAAACTAGGTCCGGAGATATGAAATTTTACCAAAAATGTGGGCGGTGCCACGCCTGTCGTTGACCCCTGCTCCTATAAATACTCTTTGCGCCATCCTGGATGTAAAATTTAATGATGCATTTAGTTATATATTTATCGAAGTTTTAGTAGTTTTCGACAAAATCGTTATATGGGGAGTGGCCGTGGTTATCACCTATTTTTACGCTGTCGCAAGGTGTCAAAATAAATTATCCTGTAAAAATTTGGGTGATACAGCTTGGTTGGTTTGGGAAGTATATACATTAAATCTTAAGGGGGCGGCCACACCCACTTTTTAAAAAGTTTCAAACCACATTTTGTGGCAATGGTCCGATTACGCCCAACTCTTCCTTCCTATGTTGCCAAGGAACACGTGGACACAGTCAACCGGATTTCAACTATTAGGTGATACAAACAACCGTTTGATGAATTAAACTATTATACTCTGTGACAACTTGTTGCAAGAGTATGAAGATGCTTTCTGAGTTTCACATACCATCAATAATATGTAAGCAGTAAAGTCAACCGCAAGTTTGAAAATCCTGATATTAGTTACATATATGAAAGAACGGGAAAGTTTCACCCGATTTTATCTATTTTATGCACAAAGATTCACTGTTATTGAAGAATCACGCTCTCTCAATTTCATTAAAATAACTCATATAATGACCGATATACGCGGTATAAATTCAACTGGAAATTCAAAGAACTTTGTATTAGGTATATTTGGCTAAGGGAAGTATTCACCCGATTCAATCCATTTTAAATTTTAATAATATATCTCACAGATCGACCTATATTTTCGATAAATTGTTCGCAGCAGGCACTGGGTTCCATATATTCAGTTTCTGGTATGGGTGGCACACTTTAAACGCATTAATAGTGCAAAGTTTTATCCGGATACATTCATTGGTGATTGATTTGCCTACTGGAAAGTGAAAGAGTCAGATGCAATTCCGATTCCGATTTCCCAATTTTCGCACCGCATCATGGGAATGTTAGGATAATGCTATCGTATTTGGTCGAGTAGGTTTTGAGGTATATGATTAAACCTATCAGTCGGCATGACCACGCCCACTTTAAAAATGTTTTTAAACCGCAGATATCCCACCATAATTCAATTTGTTGTACTAAATAACAGTCTTTTATCTTATTGTGGAGCTTAGTTATGGTTTTCGATTATTGGCGTTTTTGGGCAATAGTCCGATTCCGCCCATCTACAATACCAATCATACTCTTACGGTGCCAGGAAACATGTGTACGAAGTTTCGTCAAGATATCTTGATTTTTACTCAAGCTACCGCTTTCATGAATTATTCTGATCCATATCTGCCTCGATTAGTTTTAGGTGGTACAAACAACCGTGAGGTGAGAAAAACTGTTATACTCTGTAGCAACATGTTGCAAAAGTATAAAAATATTAATTATATAGTATTATAGATATTCAACAACAACGTATGTAAATTGATAATTTCTAAGAGAGAGACACTTTTCTCAAGCTTTCAGCTAGGGTGCTAATTAATAAATCATTTTGATTTACACTCCTATTAGTGGTAAGTAAGTGCCTTCATTCGAGGGTATGATGCTGAAGAGACAAGGCGTTTTTCGTTCGGGCGAGTAAGAGAGATTACAATTATTTAACTACATTCAAACTAACCTATTGAAAGCATTTTTGCACAAAAGCATTATTTTTCCTCGAGTCGCAGCCTTGTCTCTATGTCTTGGGTTAAACTTTGCAAACTTATTTCAATTAAATTTAAAGGTCTTTTAACCGTACAAAAACAAAATTTTGAACTGTTTCTTGTAAGATAAAAATATCACCTACATTTTTATCTTACAAGAATTTAAAACTTTTCTCGTTTAGACTTTGGAGAAAGTATACTCTCTCTGTACGTTCCTGTATGTTCTGTTAATAGCGATTTTGCTGTTAGTGTATGTACAATATATAGTATGTATCCTACTTACACCTTATGGGTATATATCTATTGGGTGTGTTCTGTTTTACATCTTAAAATCTAATACAATTTATCTATGAATTTGAGTTAATTGATAATTGGATTTAGTTTGGTTAATATTTATTAAGTAAATTTACGTGTGCCATCTGGCATATTTGGGGACGAGTGCTCTTTCGCTAGATATTAGAAGTGAATATAGATATTAGATATAAATCGAACTGTATTTCGGATTCTTATAGAAAAATATTGTTTCTTAAATAGCGCAAAAAAATAGTTACAACAAATTTTAAATGTGCATTAATTACGGACATAGAGCAAAGCAAAAGCAGAAACATAACCACAAAAACCCAAAAACACAAAACACGAGTACAAAACATAAAATAATGAATACTCAAAGTAATACAACAAAATGCTTACCTCAAATATGTATGTCAATTGGACTTAGGCGAATGAACTAAATAGCAAATAAAAAAACAAATAAAAAGTAAATGAAAAACATGTTTTCGATTATGTTTTTTGAATTTCGATATAATTTTATTATCATTACCATTTTTTCAATCGTAATCATTCATGTTTCTTGACTGTTAAGAATAAAGAACTAAAGTCACTTAAACAATGTAAATACAAATAATTATCATAATGCTTATAGACACACTTAGCAGCATTATAAACGGTAGTTGTATATAAAGTAATGAATTTTAATTTCTTCTTTCCTAAGCTAACTACAACTAATTAATTATGTATACTTAAAATTATACGCAAGATAATTAAAAAGAATAATAATTTACAAAAAGTTTATTTTTATACCTAAGCGAAATAGAAACGACATTTGAGTAACGGTTTCTTATGGGGTTTAGTGAAATGTTTCTTATAAAGTTTTACTTTTGGTTTTTTAATTTATATTTTATTTTAAATTTCTCTTTGCTCTCTTACTATATTTTTTGCGCTACATATTAACAATTTACAAAAGTTGATTATGTTTTACTTTTATTAATTACAATAAATTAATTACAAAATTATAATATTTGGTATCCGTTTTATTTTTTCTCAAAATATTCCTTTGCTTGTCGACTGTAAAGGGTTCACTACTTTTTTTCGTTTTCGTTACTTTCGATACTTTACAAAATCTGTTTTTGGGTTTGTTTTGGTTATAAAAACGTTAAACTTATGTGAACATATTTCTGCTTTCGACATTTTTCGTTAAAAATCGTAATTAATGTTGTGTGTTAGTTAAATACAAGAAAATGAAAACGACCTCGCATTTTCAGTTCAATAGTGACTCCCTCATTTGTTTTCAACAGCAACGAGGAGAGTGTATTTAATTTTCAAAATATAGTTGGTAAATAAATTCTTTTGCTTTATTAGTATATAATTATTTCTGTAAATATTCGTGTATGAGTCGATTGTTTCTTAAACATAGGACAAAAATGAAAAAATATATACTTTATATTTACACTTTTATTACAATAGATGAATTTACTTCTACACTGGAGGAAAATACGCAATATATTCAAAATGTTCACTTTGTTCTTCATTCACAAACTCAATATTAAATTTAACGCCTTATGGAAAATAAAATGAAATAATATATATAACATAAATTTATTTATTTAAAGTAGGAAGGAAACTTTTAGTTTAGAAATCCTTTAGATTAAATACTGTTGTCTAAGTCGGCGGGTTGCAACGCTGCAAAACCGAAGCACTCAGAATTACTGTGTGCGCAAAATTTTCGAAAAGTCTCAATCAATATTTCAATATTTCAAAATTGCAATTTTTGTTGAATTTTGTGCTCGCAAATATCGTTCTGTTTCGTGGAGTTTTCGCTATCATTTTGATTCTCGCAGTTCTGTCGGCATTAACACATTTATATATAACATATTTTTATGTAATATATATGTACTATATGTATTCACACATTTAGGTGTGTAATTCAAATGTATAATTTTAGGAATTGGTGTAAAAATAGAGGTAAACATCTCAACGGCACAACTGACTAGGCTCAACCCACTGCTCAAGTTCACATTGATCACACTTAGATATTTACTTATGTACATACTTATGTCTGCAAATGAGCACTTTCACGGCTCGTCACAAATCGTGTCTACTGCAGTCGATTTTCAGTTCAATATTATACTCTTTTACTGAACGTTTTCACAATTTTCAGCAGAAATTAAATAAACAATATGTTTTTGAATTATAATTAAACAGAAATCGCTAAATTTCGTTATTGTTAACAAGGAGTAAAAATAAAAAACTAAACGGAAATCATACAATTAATAGTGGTAGGTATTTGGCCGTAGATTGCAACAAAAAATCTGTGAAAAAAATCAAATCATAATAAATAGATTATTGTTTTGCTAATTGTGTGTATTTGCAAATAAAAATTGAATGGCAATACTTCAGTTATATTTCAGTATATTTGATAAATCAACTTTGGAGGTAAAGTCAAAAGAATGGGAAAACTATCTAGGTGGTTAATGTATGACTAAGGCGCGGCTTGGGCGCGAGTATGAAAGTAGGGGATATGAAGGAGTTACGAAATTAAATAGAAAATTAAACAAAAAAGTCTAAAGAACTAGAACTAGAAAAGCCTTCAACTACCCAAATACCAAACCACAAATATTAATAATGCAGTGCATCTAGATCTCAAGTGTTAATGAATACAAAACAAAAACTAAAACTCAAACCAAAATGTTAGATTGGCAATACTTGCATAAAACAACTAGCAGAGATAAACATCTAGTTTAAAAAGGTTCACATAGGAGAGATTTCGCTTAAATTTTGTATCCTAGATATGACACGTGGCAATTTAGTCGTACAATGCTCCGAAGAAATTAGTCAAATGAAACGATCTACGGCAGAAAAATTGGTGTTCTATTATCAAAATATGTTTCTGAATTTAATTTCTTTGTTTATCAATATTTCTTCTCTCGGTTTTGACTGTGAAGGGGTGAGGGTTCAAATGGATTTCGTAAGTGTGACGTTTATGAACGACCGTTGTGTTGAGTTTGTCAGTTGGACTGAGATGCGATAAATTCATTAAGCGATTTGCGAAAAGATGCCGCTGAAGATATGGTATGTATCATTAAAAGGCACTAGTGTTTATGCCATTATGATTATTTGTTTTTGTTGTTTTTTGTTTTTTTAGAATTAAGAGCGAGGCTATACGAGTACCAAAATAAAAAGTATTTGTCAAAATCTCATCAATTTAATGATTTCATTATGTGTTACAACTATTTACTGTCTATATGTGATATTAATACGTATGTGTGTATGTGAGTATGTGTCCATGACTTGAAATAAATAGAACGTCGAAGTGAGTTGATGAGATTATGTGGGCGTACCCATGTCTGCACACACGCTTACACCCGAGTGTACCCAAGCATATGCATGTGTGTGTATGTATATGCATGTGTACTGTGTGTGGACGCGAGCAAGAGAGCCTCTTATTTTCAGAAATATTACTATTACTTTCGTAATTTCACGTTGGATTGCAGTATTTGTTAGCATTTTGTTGTTGTTCTTCTTTATTTCAATGATTGCAAGAATATTTTAATGCATTTCCTCTAAATCTGCTTAGAATACTTGTATATAATGTTTTTTGCCTTCGCTTATGTTTTTTTAATTCTTTGCTTGTAAATAAATATGTAAACTAAAGTTAATAAATAATTTAAAAATAATAAAATAATTTTAAGTGGTATTATTAATGGTAAAAATTAAACTAAACAAAACAACGAAAGAGCAGTAGAAGTAAGAGGAACAGAATAAGTAAACAACAAGGAGAATATATTATTGAGTAAAATAAACCTTCTATAGCACCGTTATTTTTACAAAACAAAATCGTACGCTAAGTTTTTGCCTTTCTCATGAAGTTTTAACATTTTTTTGTTTAAGTGCGCTATTCCGTTATTTATTTAAACTTACGTCGGTTGAATTGTCAAATCGCTGAATTTGAAATGTTTTTAATTTAGTTAACAATATTAGTCGTTGGAATGTGTTTTAAAATTAATTGCGAAATTTAATTACTTCATTAATATTTGTGTGTATGTGTATGCATTTAAGTAGATTTGCTTTGATACGCAAGACAAAAATCGCATAAAATATGAGTCTATATTCATATGCGAGAGTATACATATGTACATACATATGTATCCTACATATCCACACATATGTATGTATGTATGTACGGCAAAGTAGTTGCTTGTAGGTGTTTTAATTTGATTTTGTACTATTTTTTTCTGTTTCTGTTTGCTTTAGAAAAGTTTTACAGCGACACATATGTATATGTATTGGATTATACTTATATATGTGTGTGTGTGTTTGTGGGAAATTGCGGTTTATCGCTTCCTACTAGATTTGCATCCAACAAATAAATAATTATTATGTGTTAGCATTTTCTATTTTATCAGTATTATATTGTTTATAACTAATTTTTGGTTTATTGCGCTTTTGTAAATGTTGCTGGGTTAGTGATCTCGTGTATATGTGTGTGATGGTGTAATTGATTATGCATGAGTATGTATTTTTGGTATATTTCGGAGATAGGTAAATTGCAAACATTCGATTCGAATGACATACATATGTAAGTGTATTTGAGTATGCATGAGTTTTCAATTTTCATTAATTTCTTCCATTTCGCATACTTTTGTATTACTCTTGAAGGAGTGTTTCTTTTTTATTTGCAAAAAGTATTTATTCAAGTTAAACCAATCGTGATGCTATAGAAAAGCCTACTTTAGCAAAAATAAATTCCCAAATACTTCGAGAAACATTCTTGTTCAATACTGTACGTACTGGGAGATATATTATTGACTTCCTTGCGGTCGCAGCGTTCACCGATGAATCCCTCCGGGCATCTGAAATTGAAAAGTAAAACGATCGATTATTAGAAGCAATTTCTAGAGTTATTTGCGATTGTTTGCATTTGGACTTAAGCAATATTCAAATATGGATAAATCTACAAGCGAATTGGTTCAAATCTAAAAAGTACACACTTGTTTCCAATTTGTCATAGAAATACCATACGCCTTAAAGACCCAAGTCTCCGAGCAAGTGTTTTTCAAAACTTTCGCTTTTTTGCAGGAGCAAATTCGATGAACCCATTTTTCGACTACTTTTCGCACTAAATCAAGTCGTATGTCATGAATAGTACGTTCAACATGACTTCTAAAGCTTGAAGGAAGTCTGGTTTATTGTTAAAGACCAATGACTTCAAATAACCCCACAAAAAGTAGTCTAATGGTGTTAAATCACAACTTCTTAGAGCACATTCAATGTCTCAATTTCTTGAAATTATCGTATTTCCAACGACACTTTGAAATCATATCATCATTATTGCAAAACCCTATTTATATATAGATGATCAGGTTGACGAGACGAGTTGAAATCCGGGTGACTGTCTATCCGTCCGTCTGTCTGTGCAAGGGATAACTTGAGTAAAAATTGGAATTTCTTGATGAAATTTGCCACATATATTCATTGGCACCCTAGAGAGGTCGGTATGGCAGATGGTCGTCTTTTTTACACTTCTTCATACGCTGTGAAAATGGATAAAATCGGAATGTATAACTACGTCAACACCCCACATAATGGTTATGTTGAAAACTACTAAAAGGGCGATAACTCACTGAAAAAATGCACCACAAGCATTAAATTTCACAACAGAGATGGTGGGAAGAAGCTTTATAGGAGCAAGTGTAGAAATTGGAGAATGGACGTGGCACCCCCAACCTTTAGGACAAATCCTATACCTCAGGACATCTGATTCTTTCACTTTACAGTATACAAATCAAACATTAATGTGGTTATCAGAATAAAGCTTTGCACAAAAAATTCCCTGGATATATTTAATCTTATACTCAACATTTTTCGAAATCGGGCCATAACTTTGCAGATATATCTGCACCCAAGAGCCTTTGGCTGATTTTTTACCGAACATATCAGTCATCTATTAGGTCTAGTATTTAAATTCGGGAAAAATATTTTTGTGATTACAGCATGCTCTTTTGCCAAAAATAAGTAAAGTCGGGTCAGTGCCTCCCTTAGCCCCCATATACCTAAATAATTTAAATATTTTCAAACGTTCGGTTGACTTCTATCGGTTAGTATGTAAGAAATCTTAATGAAATTCAGAAATAATCTCTTTCTAATAACAGTGTATCTTATTGCCTGTGATTCTAAATAATTAGAGCAACACTTTACACATTAATTAAAATAAATACGAAAACCCGATATATATATACTTTACCTTGCGAGAGTATAAAATGTTCGGTTACACCCAAACTTAGCCCTTGCTGACTTGTTTTGAATGCAGCTCTGATTCACTTATGTTGTAGCGTTTGAATTTATTGTTTTTGTAAATAACCATGAAAGACGCCTTATGGCACAAACAGTCACCGACGCAAAACCGTGGACCAAATCAGCTGATACGACATATCTTATGAGAGCGCAATGCAAATGAACAGTCACCACCGCTTCTACCGTCCGCTTCAACAGACTGTACGGTAGGTTATCCGCGAAAATTGGATTTTTTTCGGTAAGTGCGGAATGGAGGAATGTCGGTGACTGTTTGTGCTATTAGTGGACCGCGTAAATGTAGATATCAATTAGTTTAGTTAAACAATTCACTTCGACTACCATTTGAGACACCTACATGCGTAATACCATTTAACGATCAATTCATTCACCGCTTCATCCCTGACTCGAAACGAAAAGTCTCTTGGCTTAAGGAGTTTTGTTTACAAAAAAATCCTTGATTGGTTTGTCTAAATATAAATCGTCAACAAACACAAATAGACAAATGTACGGCCAGAGAGGTGAAAGCGGCATTGCAGGCGAGGATGTTGCGCACTCAAGTGGTGGTTGCCAGAGCTCCGGAGCGCTGCTTGCACGACATGTGTACATGTGTATGTGTTCACTTTAAGTGTTCTTTTTGCAACAGGCAGTCAGTAGTATCATTCTAGACTGCTGTTGCATACGCACAGTGGAACGTTAGTGCTTAAAGATTTTTCAAGCCAAATGCACTACAAACATGGGTGTATACCAAACCAATAAGATTTATGCACGCAAATAACTACTCAAAACCTGCTTCTAGTGTAAAAAAGAAGTAATTATATACTCACGAAAATGAAATGAAGTGAAAAGGTATTAATTAGTATGAATATATAGTTTGTGTTATTGAAATGTTTTCCCTTAACTATTGAAATGGTGGCTAGCGCGGGTATAGTTGCCGCTATTAAATAATGTATGGCAACCGGCTACTGATCAAAGGTGCATTATGTATTATTATTATATTCCTCATAATAATTTATCGAAATGTAAACTCCACTAAATTCCGGTTGCGCACAAAACTTTGCGTGTTTTGATGTATGCAGATAATTTTTGAAAGCAACAAAAAATTTTTGTGGGATGAAACCCATCCCTACTAATATTATAAATGGCGAAAGTCCGTTTGTTTGTTACGCTTTCACCGCGAAACTACGTAACCGATCATTATGAAACTTTGTGCATATATGTCTTGTGGTATTTGAAAGGACTTAGGATATTATCAATTATTATTGAAAAGAAAATATATTTTTACGAATTGTGAAAAAATTATTTAAATCTTTTTGTAAAATAAATTTGAAAATATAAAACATCATTTTGGCAGTTATGATTGTTTGTCGAAAAATTTCAAAATGTAACCAAACAAATATGCTTAAAAGTGTAAGTCAGAGAAATTGGGGTTTTCTGGTTACCACCACTACTACGAGGATGATCATCACGATATAGTATTCGTTAATATACACGATATGTACATGTATTGTATTTAGTATTTGTTTTTGTTAATAATCTTTGATATTTATTTAAGGGATTCAATGCTAGCGGAGCCGCAGAAAAAGCTAGTTGGAAATAAATGATAAAATTAGAAAAATGAAAGGAAAAATAATTTAAACAATCTGAGGGCGGGAAGAGGAAGGCGAGATTAAAAGCTATTTTTTTAATTTCATGTACCTATTATTTCGTAATAGAAGCGGTATAGTGGAGTCTCTTTTTGCATTTTTTGAGAAAATTTAACCCTTTGCACTCGAGCGGCGCTGTTGCAGCGGCACAGTGCACTATGGTCTTTTATAACTCGTTCTCTTTATTTACGATGCGCGATAAGATATTCTTCTCTGAAGTACTTTCCTGGACTAGGTTCGGCAGACGTTGTAGCCATTAAAGTACCTGTAAAATGTTTATCTAATTCGGCCGAAATCGTCTCGGGTTGCTGGTTCGCGCAAGCGAAAAAGGCCTCTAGTGCAAAGGGTTGACATAGTAATGTATATATTTTTTATACCATCAGAAAGTAAAACCGTTCGTTTTTTAACATTTTTTCTAGAATATTTGTGTATTAAAATGGCACAACGAAACACTGTGCACTTACGCCTGCGCTCATACGAACACACACGTGTATGAGTATATGTACCTTCTCGGGGGCGCTTAATTAAAGTGCATCAAAAGTGGAAATGTTTTGGTAGGGCGTACTTTTATGGTGTTTTTGAATTTCATATTTTTAGCTGCATCTTATATTTTCATTTTTGTTTTTGAATTTTTAAGTCAACAAACTTACACTATGCGATTTAACAAATTAACTATTAAGAATGGCGGCGGCGGCGGCGGCGCTAGTGTAAAATGAGGGTCGCAATCCGCCGCTGTTTTGATTGTGGTTTGATGGCAAAAGTGGCACATTGTTCCCGAACGTATCACTTTATTTTTATACTTTTCTGTTTATTAAGGAGAATCTCTGTGCTCCATACTTCGAATTGTCACCAGAAAACTCGATGGATTTCGCCACAGATGTGTCAAATGAACGATGTCGAAAGTAATCAATGGGCTGTTGACATTTAAATTGTTTTGTAGATGGAATTAAGCAAAATACTTTATCTGGTGTCTTGAAAAAATATTCGGAAAAATAAAGAAATCCAATGTTAAATCAAGAGCATAAAGAGCCAACAAATCAGGGTTGTTCGAAAATAAAAAACCGCGGAGGAAAATTTCTCCACCCCTCAATCTTCCGCACCAGATTCAAGAAACTCTGTGTGTGGATGTAGATATGTGTGTCGTGTGCGTACTCCTGTGTTCGTGTACTCTGTTTTCGTCAGCGCGCGCTGTGTCTGCCTTCATTTTTGTGATCTTCATTTGTTTGTTCCCTGCCTGCCCTGCTTGCACGTGTTCGTGTCTCGAATGGAGTGCGTGTGCGCAATGTGAATTATGTCTTTCAGCGCGTAAATTTATTTCCAAATGTGCTGCGATCACTGAAATCTTTGCATCTACAAACACACATGCACACATTAAAGTATCCACATGCTCTAGTATATATATATGGTATATACACATATATATGTAGATAAGTATGTATGTTTGCTTTTGTTGGCAACTCACACTCGCTCGCGTTTTGTGTCTATTCCTGGGCAGTGCTCCACGACTGCCACTTCCAAACACGCGTTACATGCCCCAAACTCTTGTGCGGCGCTAACGAACGATTACTTTGTTTTATGCATGCCTACATACTTATACAAATATATATTTATATACGTGTATCTATATGTACATAGTTCTCTTAGGTTGGTTCGCATTCAGTATTACACGCTGATGCCCTTTATACAGATATACATACTTACTATATTCAAATTGGGTATTGTAATGGATTTCTTTCCTAACTAACTAATTATACCCTGAACAGGGTATATTAAGTTTGCCACTAAGTTTGTAACACCCAATAGAAAACGTCGGAGACCCTATAAAATATATATATGTACATATTATATATAAATGATCAGCATGATAGCTAAGTCGATTTAGCCATTTCACTGTCCGTCTGTATATACGCTAACTATTCCCTCCATTTTTAAGATATCGACCTGCAATTTCGCACACGTCCTTTTTTCACCAAGAAGCTGCACATTTGTCTGAACCGAAATCAAGTTTTTGTATGGTAAGCTTTTTTATATGACAAGATATCTTCACGAAATTTGGCACGGCAAGCCAACTTTACAACCTCCGAACAAATTGTTCAGATCGATACTATACTATAGTATATAGCTGTCATACAAACTAACCACTCAAAATAAAGTCCTTGTACGGAAAACTTTTATATTTGACAAGGTATAGTCACGTAATTTGCCATATATTATTATCTGAGATAACGCTACAATTTTCGAAGAAATTGTTCAATTCGGACCACTATAACATACTGCTGCCATTCAAACTGACCAATCAAACTCAAGATAAATATTTTTTTATAACCTTTTATGCAATAAACGCCCTAGTTAATGGCATTATAACTTCAGTGCAGCTGAATCTAAAGTTTTTTCTCGTTTAGTAATTTAGTAATCGTTTTATGCCTAAATTTTTTCGTCTGTTGAAATTATTCTACTTCTTATTACCTGTTTGTATACTTACACGCAAGAGAATGAGTTTATTTCCGAATAGAAACTGCAGGTTCCACCATTCATACAGAATTCAGCTGCATCATCGGGACAGACCTTTCCAGTTCCGCCTGTTGGATTTGTTGAATAACGTGGCTCTGCAACGTCAAAATATGTTATAATTTATTTAAATAAGAAAAATAGAATATTTATCTAGATGCGTAATAACATGGACGGCTATATTAAATCTGAATTGTATATTCAATTTTATTAGTGCTCTTACCTAAAATAATAACATAGTTTAAGGATCCTATTTAATTTAAGAATACGCATATATTATATATAAATATAGCTGCTTGAAATCACCAAATCTTTCAGAGTGGCGAATCGAACAAGCAACTAGCGCTAAGAAATATGCTAGCTTATTCTATCAGAACTAGAGTAACAAGAGGTTATATCAACGAAGTATCCTCACATTCTCTGCATTGAAGTACACCGAATTCGACTTAATTTATTGATTTCATAAGCAAAATTAATTAAACAGAAGACCGATTAGAGAAGTGACGAAATAAAGACGGCGTATGCGGGTTTTGGTAGTCGATCTGTTTGGTCTAATTTTATAAGTGCTTGCTGATGTTATCCGATCCGTTGGCATGGTCGTAAAATTCGTAAACCGTCTTCGAATAGCTGATGGCCTTTATGAGAAGCTTGTTGATGAAAAATTCCAATGAGAGCTTTGCAGTTGCTAGCCTAGTCGCAATCAATATAAGAAAATTTGTACCGTTGGCCGTGAACCTCGGTCAAACCGAAGACCAATGCATAAGGCCAGGGAATATCCAAAAATGTAAACTCAATTATTGCAACTACTTTTTAGCACATGTTATAGATATACATATATATGGTATGTGGTCTACATTATAGTAATTTATGATGATCACCTCAGATTTCCTTCTACAAATGGTTATGAAGACGGTTATGTATTTTATACAGTTTAATATAAATTTCTTTCAAGATATTTATAGATTTACAAGAGGGGAGAGGAAATAGGACTTAAGGCATAGCACTGCATCTCACATAATCGACACAAGGAAATGCTCGCAGATACGAGTATATAGCGTATATGTATATGCTGTTTTAATTACAATCGCATCATCTGTGTGGCTTCGGTACTCACCTGGATCCGCTTTGATTACTATTTCGCGTCGATCTGGTTCCTGATTGATTTTATTTTTGGCACGGCATTCGTAGCGTCCGGTATCAGAGATGTTAAACGAACGAATGATGAGCTCAGAGCGCATTCTGTTGGTGTTCCAAAGAAGGTGATGGTGGTGGTGTTGGTGTTGTGTGAAGAATTGGTGATGAAGCGCACGCAAAATAGATATATAAAACTAGTAAAACGCAAACAAATTAATTTAATTTGTTGTAACTTACTTGAAATGCCGAAATTTGTATAATTTCCGATTGCGATTAATCGATTTGCCATCCTTGAACCAGGTGACCTTAGGAGGCGGCCTGCCCTGCACCTTGCAAACAATGTGTAACTCTTTACCGATTTCCATCGTTCGATTGGTGGTTATATTTCGTATCGATGCGAGCTGTGCTGTAAACAATTTAGAGCAAAAATGTTTCGTAATTACTAATGAATCAAATGGTGGAATTTGAGGCAAAAACTTTGAAACTTTGAAAGATATTGAAACATTTAATAACAATGGGCAAGGTGTATTATTCTCAACCCAAAAGTACGAATTATATGTAGAAAAATATTACTGGTGCTTTTGCAATTTCCAATGCTGATCGTTTATTATATAAAAGGTGTAAATTTTGCTTAACCCAATCTGTCCGACACATGTTTTTCTATTCGCCAATCTCATTTTTGCTTACCGAGACTGTCTGCCACCCGAGGTGTTGAATAAAACATGAGAATATTGTCACAAAATAATATGAAAGCTAAAAAGAAAAAATGCCACCAAACGAATCTATAAAAGATTGTGGAAAATTTTAGTCTGATCAAAAACGAGTGATATCTAAAAATCTTTGAATTTTATGATCAACAGATGGGCGCCAATCGCCGAAGCCAAAGCAAGCGACGCAGACACTTCCGTTTCTCTCGTTTTTTTTCTATGAGGAGCATGTTTTTTTCCGTAGAAGCAGTAGGGTTAGGTACGGCATTGCAACAAATGCATTAAAATCCAGAAAAACAGAAACTTTCCGAAAAATTTCTGTGTGTTCTACTAATATAAATATACACGCGTTGCCAGCACCCAAGAGAAGTGATTTTCAGCAATTTTACCATTAATTCATAAAAACACGCTGTTTGTACTTTTAGTTAAATTTTCGAAGAATTTCGTGCCAGAGTACTTTCCCTGCGTTATGGTGTATGTATTTGTTTAAGTATGCAGCGGGAATTTATTTGTTTAGAAATTGGTGGGGTTATAAATACAATTATATTTCTAGTGTGCGAAAATATTTAAATTGCTGTATTACTCTAGCTTGCAACATTACAAAGTTGCACTGAACGCAATACAGTTGGTAATTCGTGCGTTCCACGCCCACTTGCAATACACACAGTGCCTGTATTGTGGTGCCCTGTGGAGGTGCGCGCGGTCGTATACGTAACTTAATTGATTTCTCATCACTCATAGTAGCCAAGGCTGCATCATGTGATGCGCGGTCAGCCGACAATGTTACACGTCTTTTGCTTCACTTTTATGCTTGGCACTAGCGGCTCCCGGCACTCTACGCAGTTATACAATTCGCGCTTAGTCATCAGTGAGTCGCAGCGCAAGAATGTGACACATTGACCAAAATAAATCTCACGAATGATTTGCGACATCTCAAGATATTGTATATATATATATAAATAAGTATATATATATACCTAAATACATTTAAATATAACTGTATGCTGTCGTTGGGAAGGTCGCCCGAGCGCTATGGTTTTAAATAGCCAGCGATTAAAGAGTTTACTTTATATAAAAATAGGGTATTTGATTGTATTTGTTATCCATTTAATTAACTATATTAGATAAGCAAACAAATCAGCACTTACACCCGACTACCCGTAAATAAATTCAAGCACGTGATCTATTTTTATTTTCGCTAAATGTGAATGTTTACTGAGGTTCCGTCTCTTCTTTTCATTATTAAAGAAAAGCTCAAACAATTAATGGATGGAAACGTCGGAGAACCTATAAAATATATATATAAATGATCAGCGACGACTAGTCCCTCGGTTTTTGGCATATCGAAATTTCGCACATTTCTTTTCTCTCAAAGAAGCTGCTCATTTGTCGGACTCCCCGATATCGAACCACTACAGCATATAACTGCCATGAAAACTGAACGATCGAAATCACGTGCTTGTATGAGTTTTTGTCTAAGGCAACAACTCAATCTCCGATGAAATTGTTCAGATCGGGTCTCTATAGCGTATATTATTATTTTAAAAAAATATTATTTAACTAACCGTTAATTATTTGAACATTCTGGCAACATATTGAAATCAATACTTTTGGAGTCTATAGATATTGGCTACTATGTAAATTAATGAAAATTATTTAAATAAAGAAAATAATTTTAATAATAATTTAATTTATTATTTTAATAATAATTTTAATAATTAAATTAATGAAAATTATTTAAATAAAGAAAATAATTTTAATTAATTGATTTTACAAATATTACCAATTAAAATAGTTTCACGCACTTTTATTTTCAATTTTAAAAGAAGTAACGCTTAATCTGATTTTATTTTTACCTTCAGAAAAATTTAAATAAAGTTAAGAAGTCTGTTTGAAAAAAATCGATCGAATTGAAATTTCTACCATGGTTACCTTTAGTATTTGATTGTGTTCCGCCGCATTTCATCACATTTTTACATGTTATTCATACGCCCCGCCGTATCACATGAAAAATATGGCAAGCGAGCAAAACGAGCAAAACTTTGTTGGTAGAACAATCCGTGCATGAATCACGTTTGTTGTATATTTAAAGTATTTGTTGCTTTTCTATTATAAAATTAGCACGCTTTTGTTGCTATACAACCTGTAAGCATCAACGATTGTGAATTATTTAATAGTATAGTATGCACAGCATATGTATATCGGCTATTATATTTTTATGTGTATGAAAAGTATTTTCTGTTCTGCTTCATTTAAATTGTGTATTCTTAGATTGTCTGCCAATCGGGCTGACAATTGGCGAGAGGATGCGGCTGGCGGGCAAAAACTGAGTGCTGCTGTCGGAGTGTCTGAATAATAAGACATTTTCATCAAGAAATATGGCAATATTAAATGTATCTTCTGAAGAAAAAGGTAAAATCTAAATCTAATCTATTATTGTAAATTAGCATCAAACAATTTCTTTTAGTCGTTATTGTAAACTTTTTACCCTTTTTGTTTATGAACCTCAGTTGTAGTGGTTAGTAATTCTTAAGATACTTACTGGTTTCTCTTAGAGCCGAAATTTTAAAGAACTGAATTTAAAGCAGCTGTGGCTGTGTAAACTGAGTAGAATAAATATCTCAATAAAAAGCGTGGTTAAACATTAAGGAAGATTGCGAAGTAACAACGGGGTAAAGACATGTTTTTAATTATATTGTGTGCTCGCTTGGCTCTAGGGAACTTAACAAGCTTTACGACGTACTCATTTGTATAAAGTTATTCAAGTATGTTACGTGCAGAGCATACAAAAATATTTATAAATAAATTTTCGAAGATTTTTTAAATTTAATTTCCACATAATTTATATTATTTTGCTTGGAGCACAAGTGGTTTATCGCTCTTTAACAAGCGGGTTGTGTTTGAAGCAATTCGTTTTCGGAATGTAATTACAGATTAAATTTTACGTTTTAATTTTTTTTCCAATGCTTGGCGAAAAAGTTCATCAGTAAAATTCTTAACGACATTATTAACTCATAAACAATCGCCTTGATTATGTCATTAACGAGTGTGAAGAGTTATAATGAGAAGTAGGCGACGGCCCATAAGGCTCACTGAAGCTGGCCACTTGAATCGGCACCGGCAGCACAGAACTCTCACGGTTCGAAGCGAAAAGAGGCAGCACAAACTGAAAAAATGAAAATAAAGCAAACACACACACACATATGTGCGATCATAAGCACTACGATATTATAAAAACTTGCCGTGCTGCTAAGGCGCCTTCTTTAGATTGTCGTGTACACCTACCTAGTGAAGAACTTTGGGGCCACTTGTCATGCGGCTGATCGGCATGTAAGCTTGTTTGTGCGCTTAAGTGTGTCACAGTCGAATCATTTGTTGTCTTGCTAGAACCGCGTATCATTACGACTTAATTGTGACATTTTTACGACTGGACGAATAGCCGGCAGCAATAGCACCAGCCCCAGCGACAACAGCGTGAAAAGTGAGCCGCATACTGTATTCGCACAGCTGCCAGCTGTTGAGAATTTCGGGTAGAAATACATATATAGGTATACTTTTCGTGAATATTTAATGATCTTAGTGCCTCAGCGCCCCTCGCGAACGCTGGCATTGGAAATGTGCAAGGAATTTCGCAAAATCTCAGAACTTTGTAGGTGATTTATGTGGACATAAAAATGTTTATTACCCAAATGACTTGGAAAAATCATAGAATAATATATATATATATAATATTATTGTTTTGAATTTAATTTATCATAAAAAAACTGATATAATAGTCAGAAGCCTTTATAGCTCTGAATATACCATACATACTTAGAGCATAGATGCGTAACGAAGGGGTTGCATTTCCTCGAAAATTTTAATTTTGACGGTTAAAGATTATTTTCAGAAAAGGCACTCGATCATTGATCGTGATTGTTTCGAATTCGATAATTGGCTCCTTTAATTTACTAATACTTTTTAGACAGTTATTACAAGAAAGAACTAGAGTAAAAATTTCTCTATATTTTTAAATTGTTGCTTAAGGATTTCTTTTTTATTGTTAAACATAATTAAATTTTTACTATGGACCTCCTCTAAATGCTCTCCACTATCATGCCGACGCTTTCAAATCGAGGTCATAGTAATTAAAATACAATTTTACTTTTTCTTCGGCCATAGGAATATGCTTATTTAATATTTTGTAAAAAGACACGGGCAACCTTAATTACTAGTGACACCACGCAACGGAAACGGCGCCCGCCCACTGGTGCGCTCAGGCGCCATAGACAGACATAAAAAGTACACACTTTTGATTAAGCGATTTTAAAAACATTTAGCCAAAGTTTTTAGGTTTGAACAAAGAAATTGAAATTAAGCCTGTTCTATTGGCAATTTTTTTTGGGCTCATGTTGTACACCTACAAGGTGCGTTCCAAAGTAAACAGGACTTTTAAAAAAAAGGAAGAACAAATGGTTTTATCGGCAAAATTACTTAATTTTATTCAAAATAGTCTCCTTCTGCTTTAATACAACTTTTTGCACGGTCCAAAAATATGTCGAACGAGTGTTTTAGCTCTTTGCCGGGTATGGCCGCCAGTATGCCGGTGCAAGCCTTTTTAATGGTCTCCACGTCTGCATAACGCTTTCCTTTCATAGGCAAATGCATTTTTCCGAAAAGGTAGAAGTCGCACGGTGCCATATCAGGTGAATATGGGGAG